GAATTCTGTCAAACATTTAAGAAGAGCTAATGGCTATCCTTCTGAAACTCTTTCAGACAATTAGAGAGGAAGAAACACTTCCAAACTCATTCTACAAGGACACCATCACCCTAATACCAAAACCAGATAAAGATAGCACAGAAAAAGAAAGTTACAGGCCAGTATCACTAACAAACATAGATGCAAAAATCCTCAACAAAATTCTAGCAAACAGAATACGACAACACATTAGAAAGATCATATACCATGATCAAGTCAGGTTTATCCCAGGGATGCAAGGATTCTTCAGCATACACAAATCAATCAGTGTGATACACCATATTAACAAGTTGAAAAATAAAAAACCATATGATAATCTCAGTAGATGCTTAAAAAGCTTTCAACAAAATTCAGCACCTGTTTATGATACCAACACTTCAAAAAACAGACATAGAAGGAACCTACCTCAACATAAAGGCCATATATGCTAAACCCAGAGCAAGCATTATTCTCAGTGGTGAAAAACTGAAAGCATTCTTTCTAAGGTCGGAAACAAAACAAAGGTGCCCACTCTCACAGCTGTTATTCAGCATAGTTTTAGAAGTCCTAGCTATGGCAATCAGAAAAGAAAAGGAAATAAAAGGAATCCAAATTGGAAAAGAAGGAAAATTCACTTTTTAAACAATATGATACTATACATAGAAAACCCTAAAGATACTGTCAGAAAATTACTAGAGCTAATCAGTGAATTTAGTAAAGTCACAGGATACAAAATCATTACACATAAATCCCTTGCATTCCTATACACTAACAACGAAAAATCAGAAAGAGAAATTAAGGAATCAATCCCATTTACCACTGCAACAAGAAGAATAAAATACCTAGGAATAAAATTGTTCAGGGAGGCAAAAGAGCTGTGTATAGAAAACTATAACACACTGATGAAAGAAAACAGAGATGACAGATGGAGAGATATTCCATGTTCCTGGGTTGGAAGAATCAATATTGTGAAAGTGACTATACTACTAAATGCAATCTACAGATTCAGTGCAGTCACTGTCACATTATCAGTTACATTTTTGACAAAACTAGAACTAGGATATTTCACAGTTTGTTTGGAAACACAAAAGACCCTGAATAGCCAGTGCAATCTTGAGAAAGAAGAATGGAGCTGGAGGAATTAACCTTCCTGACTTCAGACTGTGCTACAAAGCTGCAGTCATCAAGACAGTATGGTATTGGTGCAAAAACAGAGATATAGACCAATGGAACAAGATCAAAACCCCAGAGATAAACCCACACAGCTACGGGCACCTAACCTTTGACAAAGGAGACAAAAATTTACAGTGGTGAAGGATAGTCTCTTCAGTAAATAGTGCTGGGAAAACTGGACATGTGAAAGTATGAAATTAGAACCCTTCCTAACACCATACACAAAGAACAAAGATAAACTCAAAATGTATTAAAGACCTAAACATAAAACCCAAAGCTATAAAACTATTGGAGAAAAATGTAGGCAGAAGACTCTTTGATATAAATCACAGCAAGATCCTCTGTGACCCACCTCCTACAGTAATGGAAATAAAAATAAACAAGTGGGACCTAATTACACTTAAAAGCTTTTGCACAGCAAAGGAGACTATAAACAAGGTGAACAGACAACCCTCAAAATGGGATAAAAAAATTGCAAATGAAACAACTGACAAAGGATTAATTTCTAAAATGTATAAACACTCTGTGCAACTCAGTACCAGAAAAACAAACTACCCAGTTGAAAAGTGGGCAGAAGACCTAAACAGACCTTTCTCCAAAGACCTACAGGTAGCTAATAAATACGTGAAAACATGCTCAGCATCGTTCAGTATTAGAGAAATGCAAACCAAAAACTATAATAGATATGACTTCACACCAGTCAGAATGGCCATCATCAAAAAATTTATAAACAGTAAATGCTGAAGAGAGTGTGGCAAAAAAAGGAACCCTCTTGCTTTGTTGGTGGGAATGTATATTGACATAGTCACTATGGAGAACAGTATGGAGATTCCTTAAAATAATTAGGAATAAAACTACCATATGACCCCGTAATCCCACTACTGGGCATATACCCTGAGGAAACCATAACTGAAAAAGATGCATGTCCCCCAGTGTTCATTGCAGCACTATTTACAGTAGCTAAGACATAGAAGTAACCTAGTTGTCTATCAACAGATGGATGGATAAAGAATCTGTGGTATATATACACAATGGAATATTCCTCAGCCATATAAAGGAGCACATTTGAGTTGATTCTAATGAGGTATATGAACCTAGAGCTTTTTATACAGAGGAAGTAAGTCAGAAAGAGAAAAACAAATATCATATATTAATGCATGTATATGGAATCTAGAAAGATGATACTAATGAACCTATTTGCAGGGCAGTAATGGAGACGCAGATATAAAGAACAGACTTGTGGACAAGGATTGGGAAGAAGAGGGTGGGAAGAATTGAGACAGTAGCATGAAAATACATACACTACAATATGTAAAATAGATAGCCAGTGGGTATTTTCTTTGTGCCTCAGGGAACTCAAACTGGGGCTCTGTGACAAACTAGAGCAGTGGGATGGGGTGAAAGGTGTTAGGGAGGTTCAAGAGAGCAGGGATGTATGTATACCTATGACTGATTCATGTTGATGTATGGCAGAAACCAACAGAATAAAGCAATTATCCTTCAATTAAAAATACATTTAAAAAAATACATAACAAAATTTATCATTTTAACCATTTTAAGGCTTAAGTACATTTATAGTGATGTATATAGCCTTTGCTGCTGTCCAACTCCAGGATATTTTCATCATTTCAGACAGAAACTCTGTACTCATTAAATCATAACTCTCCATTCCCCCTCTTTGCCCAGCCCCTGGTAACCTCTGTTCTACTTCCTTTTTCTAGGAATTTCCCTATTCCAGTTGCCAAGTGCAAGTGAAATCATAACAGTAGTTAGCCTTTTGTACTTGGCTTATTTCACTGAGCATGTTTTCAAGATTCATCCACGTTGCAGCATGTATCAGAATTTTATTCCTTTTTATGGCTGAATAGTATTTGATTGTAGGTATAAGCCTCATTTTATTTATTCATTCACTTATTGGTGGACACTTAGATTGTTTCTGCCCTTTTGCTATTGTGAATAATGCTGCTCTGAACATTTGTGTACAGGTACCTGTTTCAGTCCCTGTTTTCAGTTCTTTGGGGAATATACCTAGAAGTGGAGTTACTGGGTCATTTGGTAATTCCATGTTTAACTTTTTAAAGTTTTCCACAGCAGCTGCACCATTTTTTCATTTCCACTAGCAATTCACAAGGGCTCTAATTTCTTCATATCCTTGCTAGTACTTACGATTTTTTTTTTTTTTCTTCATAATAACCACCCCAGTGGATGTGAAGTGGTGTCTCATTGTGACTTTAACTTGCACTTTCCTAATAATTAATGATGTTGCTTTTTATGTACTTATTGGCCATCTGTATAGATAAATAGAGGCTTCCTAGGTGGCACTAGTGGTAAAGATCCTGCATACCAATGCAGGAAATGTAACAGATGTGAGTTCAATCCCTGGGTCCAAAATATCCCCTAGAGAAGAGCATGGAAACCCACTCCAGTGTTCTTGCCTGGAGAATCTCATGGACAGAGGAGCCTGGTGGGCTGTTGTCCATAGGATCTCAAACAATTGGACTTGACTGAAGCAACTTAGCACTCACACATAGATAAATGGAGAAATACCTATTCAGGTCCTTTGCTAATTTTTCAGTTGGATTATTTGAGGGTTTCTTTCTTTTTTTTTTTTTGTCATTGAATTGAGGAGTTCTGTACATATTCTGGAGATTAGTCCCTTATCAGATAAATGATTTGCCAATGTTTTCTGCCATTTTGTAGGTTTTCTTCTCATCCATGTGATAGTGTTCGTTGATGCACAGTCTTTTTCATTTTGATGAAGTTCAGTTTGTCTGTTTTTTCCTTTTGCCTGAGATTTAGAAGTCAAATTCCAGAATTATTGCCAAATTCAGTGTTGTGAAGATTTTCTTCTGTTTTCTCTACAAGTTTTATAATTTTAGCTCTATTTAAGTTTTGGTTTTGATACATTTTGAGTTAATTTTTATATACAATGTAAGCTAAAGGTTCATCTTCATTCTTTGGCATGTGGGTATCCAGATTTCCTAGCATCATTTGTGGAAAGGAGTATTCTTTTCCCATTGAATGGTGTTGGCACCTTTATTAAAAATCATTTGACCGTATATATTTGAGTTTATTTCTGAGCTCTCTATTCTGTTGGTCTGTGTGCCTGTCCTTCTGCTAGTACCCCCCCCCAACACACACACACTATTTCAATTACTATAGCTTTATAGTAAGTTTTGAAGCCAGGAATTGTGAGTCTTCCAACATTATTCTTCATTTTCAAGATTGTTTAAGCTATTAGAGGTCCTTGAGATATCATGTGAATTTTAGGATGGCTTTTTCTATTTTTGCAGAAAAACACCATTGGGATTTTGATAGGGATTGCATTGAGTCTGTAGATCTTTATGTAGTATTGTTGTCTTAACATTAGTCTTCTAATTCATGAATGTAAATGTCTTTATACTTCATTGATTCTTCAATTTCTTTCAGTGATGTTTGTAGTTTTCATTGTACAATACTTTGGTTATATGGCTGTTATATATCTCACAGTTTAATAGAGTAACCTTCTAGTTTATCCATTATTTTTTAAAATGACCTATTAATGCCCTGAAAAGTCTTTTCTGTTTTTAACAGAATCAGGGTTCTGAACTCAAAAAGCTGAGGGAAGGATCCTGGAAATTGGAAACTTAACTAAATTACTGCCCATGGAAAGCCCTTCTGGGTGTTCAGCCTGCTGGTTTTCTCTGATTAAAACCTAATTTTATTGCAGGTCTTTGATCTACAATTGTTCACATTTCTAATTTTTTTTAATCTTTTGCTTCTAGATTTCTCCATCTTGTTAAGGAGGAAATTCCTATTTGATATAGCTGATGATACCATGCAAAAATCAGATCCTCGAAAAGGTCAGAACCTGTACTTATATGTGATAGAAATGAAGAGCTATCTTCTATTAGGCTGTGAATGAATGTATGTGTCACAAAAAGCTGTTCAAGTAAATAAAAATATCTCATCCTTTCTTACCAACTTATCCTGCAATTTCACAAATCCTGCGTGTCACTTTGCAGCTCTTTTACAAAGTACTCTTCACATAATTGTCTCAAATAGTCTTTTCTGTAATCTTATGAAACAGGGACTGTTGCTGTTCCTGTTCTGTGGAAACAATGAAAGATTAAGAGACTTACTCAACATGTTGTTCCTATAAATTGCAAGATTTAGTCCTGAATCTTTTTACCTCTAAATCTTACTCTTCTTACTACCTCATAAGTTCATGATCATTATTAGAATTTAGTAGACATGTAAGTATGGAAGCTATATGAACATTAAAAATAAAATACATGATAGTCTGTGAAAAAGTTAAAGCCTGTTTATGGGTATAAAATATTATTAATACATCAGATCATGATATTAAATATTTAAATACAATCTCTAGAATGATCCAGACTCCTGATTATGTGTATGACATTGTCTTATTGTGGCCAATGGCACTCTTTGCTGATACTTTCCTTTGTATTCTCATCTTCTTCCGTTTCTGTCATTTGTCTCTGTAGCTTCCCTTACCCCTTTCCATCTATAGTAGCTGCTGGTGGTTATCCATACACTTAATCCATTTCCATGTCTTAGTACCTTTATACTACTTTTCCTTTAACTCAAATACCTATTCATCTTTCTTTTCTGACAGTCCTATCTCAACTTCAAGTCTCTGTGAAGCTTTACTCCTCTCCCCAAGCAAAGTCAATCATTCCTTTTGCTTTTCTCAGAGCACTTTGTATAGCAAATCTCTCTTATAGCAAAAATCACATTATATTATGATTGTGTATTTGAGTTGCTGTCTGTCCTGTTAATCTGTTTTTTGTGAGTTCTTTGTGAGCATAGATTGGGATTTATTTGTCTTCATGTTCTTAACACTCAGTGTTAGTCCTAGGTTTAGGTATGAATGAAATAGCAGTTTTCCTTAAAGAATCTGTACAGTATTCTAAGTGAGAGACTGACCACATAAAAACACTCAGAAGTTTACAACTATTTGTAAATGAATATAATACATGTATTTTGAAGTAGAATAATGGAGTGATCACAGCTAGGCAAAGTTATTTAGGGAAGATTCTTCTAGATGAGGGATCAGTAAACTATGGTCCATAGGCCAAATCCTGTCAGCTGCCTGTTTTTGTAAATAAAGATTTATTGGAATATAGCCATGTCCATTCGTTAATGTGTATGGCTACTTTCATTGTACAGTGGCAGAATTGAGTAGTTGTAGCAGAAACCATGTATCCCATAAAACTGAAATTTTTTCCCCTCTGGCTGTTTTCTATTCCCTGATCTACAAGATAGGTTTTGAAAAGAGGTATGAGACAAAGAGGAATGTGAATTGATGAAGCATGAGTGTGCATCATAATGCAATGAAAACAGCCATAGTAGTAGGAATGCCAAGTGAAGTTCCACTCTAATCCAGTTTGTCAGAGAGAAGTGTGTTGAAGAAATGAAATGTCAAGAACGCTTTGAGGGTGGACCCAAGATTGGGGGGTGAGGGAAGACAGAGAGGCATGTCTCCCCACGCCTAGGATATTCACCAGGTGCTAGTGGGGAACCTCCTGTGGACAGGCTGAAGGGAGGAGCCCTGGGAACAACTGGATAAGGGGGAGTGAAGGAAACTTGAACCCTGGTGACCAGCAACTGTGTGGTTGCTGGGGGAGGTGGAGTGGCTTTGGTGCCTTGAGCGGTTTGGGTACCTTTGGTCACTGGAAGCAGCGAAGCAGCATGCCTGCTCACCTGAGAGGAGTAGGGATCCCTCAGGGATCAGAGGATCCACTAGGGGAAGCCCCTGGGGTTCCCCTTTCACTTAGTGGTGACTGGGGTTGGGGGAAGAGTAGTTTGGCACTGGGAGTGGCTTGGGCGCCTTTGGGTGCTGGGTAGAGTGCACCTGCTCCTCTGGGAGGGGGAGGGACATCTGATGAGATCAGAAGATCTGGGGAAGCCCCTGGGGTTCCCCTTTCACTTGGCCCCAGGGAGCCTTCTGGGACCCAAGGGCCTGGGCCTCTGCCCTCTGGGGCCTTGTCTGCCCTCCCCAACCCTCTTTACCCTCTGAAAGAGCCCTTCGCTCTTCAGGGACCCCCCTCCGCCTGGGTGGATCCTGTGGATGTAAGAGGGAGTAGGGAGGCTCATTTATGGAGAAAAAAAGGTGGGCTGGTGTGGGGAGGCTCCTGCTGGGTTATAAGAGCAGGGAACTACCTAGTGTCCCGCCACCCATTGGATTCTGGGAAGCCTCCTAAGGCTCCCAGGCTGAGCCCTCCACCCTTGGACCACTCTCCAGGGCCCCCTCCACCATCCAGAGCCCCCTCCTGGCTTTCCAGCCTCCAGGGCCACCTCCTCCTTCCAGGCTGAGCCTTCAGCCATCTGGAAGCCCCCCTCCACCCTCTAGGGTACCCATCCTCTGTGGGCCTCCTCACTCCTCAAGGGACCCTGTCTGCTCCCTAGCCTGGGCTCTCCTCCATCCAGGATCTCTTTCTACCATCTGGTTCCCTCCTACTTCTGGGGGCCCTCTCCATCCTCCAGGGCCCCCCTCCCTCTCAGCCCCCTCCACCCTCCAGGCTGAGCCCTCTGTTCTCTGGGGACCAACTCTGCCCTCAGGGGCCCCCTCTGTCCTCCAGGGCCACCTCCAAGGATACCCTCTGCCCGTGTAGGTCCTGCAGGTACAGGAGGGAGGGGAGATATAGCAGGGGCAGCCAGGGGATGATCCCTCTAGTATAGAGGAGAGGGAAATCCATCTAGTGTTGTGCCACCCACTCGACCCTGGGGAGCCTCCTAGGGACCTGGTCCTTATCTTACACACCCCAAAGCCAGAGGCACTGCAGAGGCCCCCTCAGTTGGGTTGAGCCTCCCCCAACCCCACCCAGGGCTTTTTCTGAAGGCTTAGGTCCTAAGTCAGGATCCCACCCCCACCTAAATCCCATCTCCCCCTAACCATTCCCACCACCTGAGCCACTCACCATCTAAGCCCCACCCTTCACAGCCAAGGTTTCTTCTGCCTTTTGGATTTTTACTATTTACCAGTAGAGTTTGGTTTTACCCTCCAGTGCTTGTTTCATATAAATTATTATTCTTTCTACTATTTGTTAGTTTTCTAAGCTTATTTTATTATTTATAATCTTTGTTATTATTCTACTCACTCTTTATTTTCATTTTTATTTTATATATATGTGTGTGTGTGTGTGTGTACTTTTTTGTTTCTCTTTTCTTCTCTCTCATTGCTATTGAAGTCCAGTTTTACCCTTCAGGGGTTTTTATTTTTTTATGCTTTGTTATTGTTCTGCCTTTTTTTCTTTTTTTCCCCCACACCCCACTACACTGTTGGAGTAACAGAGAATATCAAGTTCCAGAGAATATTAATCGGAGTAAGGAATCCCAGAGGTCTGTATCTCAGTACCAAGACCTGGCTCTAACTGCCTCCAAACACTACTACTGGAAACCTCAGGCCAAACAACTAGTGAGACAGGAGCACAGTCCCACCCATCAAAAAAAAAGAAACAACAGAAAATGAAGGAGCAAGGTAAAAAGTATACAACCAAATAAATGAGGAGGAAGTAGGCAACCTCTCTGAAAAATAATTTAGAGTAATGATAGTAAAGAAGTTTCAAAATATTGAAAATAGAATGGAGAAAATACAAGAAACATTTAACACATTTAACTAAGACCTAGAAGAAATAAAGAAACAGTGACAAACAATGCAATTACTGAAAAGTACTCTAGAAGAAATCAATAGCAGAATAACTGAGGCAGAAGAATGGATCAGTGAATTGAAAGATAGAATGATAGAAATAACTGTCATCAAAGTGTTAGCCACTCAGTTGTGTCCAACTCTTTGTGACCTCATGGACTGTAGCCCATCAGGCTGCTCTGTCCATGGGGATTCTCCATGCAAGAATACTGGAGTGAGTTGCCATTCCCTTCTCCAAGGATCTTCTGGACCCAGGGATTGAACCTAGGATGCCCACACTGCAGTCAGACTGTTTACCACTGAGTCACCAGGAAGCCCTCAATAACTGCCATGGAGCAGAATAGAGAAAAAAGAATGAAAAGAACTGAGGATAGTCTCAAAGATCTCTGGGACAGTATTAAATGCACCAACATTTGAATTATAGGGGTCCCAAAATGAAGAAAAAATATGAGAAAATATTTGAGGAGATTAGAGTTGAAAAATTCCCTAAAATGGGAAAGGAAATAACCAAGTCCAGGAAACCCAGAGAATCCCATATAGGATAAATCCAAAGAGAAAAACACCAAGATACATATAAATTAATCAAACTAACAAAAATTAAGCACAAAGAAAAAAGTATTAAAAGCTGCAAGGGGAAAGGAAAAAAAATAACATAAAAAGGAATCCCAGGGCTTCCCTGATGGCTCAGAGGTTAAAGAATCTGCCTTCTATGCAGAAGACCTAGGTTTGATCCCTGGGTTGACAGGATCCCCTGAAGAAGGAAATGGCTTTCTACTGCAGTATTCTTGCCTGGAGAATACCCCCTGAAGCCTGGCGGGCTACAGTCTGTAGGGTTGCAAAGAATCAGACACAACTGAAGCGACTTAGCAGACACACATTCACAAAATCTCCATAAAACTAACAACTAATTTTTCAGCAGGAACTATGCAGGTGTTTAAAGTGAAAGAAAAAAAATGATGAAGGAAAAAAAACCTGCAATCAAGATTACTCTACCCAGCTAGGATCTCATTCAAGTTTGATGGTGAAATCAAAAGCGTTACAGACAAAAGCTGAAAGAATTCAGCACCACAAAACCAGCCTTACAATAAAGACTAAAGAAACTCTCTAGCAGGAATCACAACAGAAGAAACAGACCACAAAATCAAACCCTAAATGATTAAGAAAATGGCAGTAGGAACATATATGTCAATAACTACCTTAA